ACATCGGCTAATTAACATTTTTCTCTGTTTTTGTATATATCGAAGGAGTTTGATTTTAAGGAAATTGATGAAGTGTTGAAATACTACCCGCAAGGGCACCACGGAGTTGACAAGGAAGGAAGACCAGTGTACATTGAGAGACTAGGTCAAGTAGACTCTACCAAGTTGATGCAAGTTACAACCATGGATAGGTATGTGAACTACCATGTGATGGAGTTTGAGAGGACCTTCAACGTTAAGTTCCCAGCGTGCTCAATCGCCGCAAAGAAGCACATTGATCAAAGCACAACCATTCTTGATGTCCAAGGAGTGGTATGTAAATGTGTCTTGGCTTTTCTAGTATGTGTCTAATCTTGAATCTAAAGAACTCACTATAGAGCCATAGGCAAAACTATTACGCTATTACCCGAAACATGGTAACTTATTGAACCCTCCTATGGTCTTCTTGTGGGTATAATAGGGACTCAAAAACTTCAACAAGGCTGCTAGGGACTTGATCATTCGTCTTCAAAATGTTGATGGTAACAACTACCCCGAGGTGAGGTTTATATTTATATGCTCGATTATCTTTCATCAGTCGGCTTCTTTTTATCTGAACCTCTTTGGCTCTTAGACCTTGAACAGGATGTTTATCATCAATGCTGGATCAGGATTCAGAATGTTGTGGAACACGGTTAAGTCTTTCCTTGACCCGAAGACAACAGCAAAGATCCATGCAAGTATTCAAACCTTTTCGTATCGAATCTGCTAAATTTTTTTCTTCTAAATGAAGATAGTTTAAGTAATTTAGCTATATGTATTTGATATACCAGGTTCTTGGCAACAAGTACCAAAGCAAGTTGCTTGAGATAATCGATGAAAGGTGAGCTTCGCGTAAAGTTTATTGAACATAATATTACTGATCATGCTATTTGAAGACTGACTTTTTTTCATCTAAATGTATGTATCAGTGAACTTCCTGAGTTTCTTGGTGGTTCTTGTACTTGTGCTGACAATGGAGGTTGTATGCGCTCTGACAAAGGTCCATGGAACAATCCAGAGGTCATGAAGGTGAATGTCTCTTTCTTCGGATAAATTCTTACGTCAAAATAAAGCGGTAGCGACCTTTATCGGAATTAGTTTCTCCTTGGAAACAAACCTGAATTTTGTATTTTACTTACAGATGGTTCACAATGGTGATCACAAATGCACAAAGAGATCCCAAGCTGAAAACTCTGTAGGGAAGACCATCTCTGAGGTCTTTTCTTACTTTAAACTTACCTATTTGCTTGAATTTCATTACTCAATCCAATGCTAAACAAACTCATATTCTATGATCTTCAAGGAAGATGACTCTACAACACCTGAAGAGGACAAGGCTTCAACAGAGGTCTCTCCCTCTGAAAATGTAAGAATCACCAACCCTCTAAAATTCTTGAGATTGAACATATAGCAACAATAATTTCATCCGATATGCGTATTTTTGATTTTCCAATGCATTTTCCATCTTTCAAAGTACTTGTAGCCGGTTTTGGTCATATCTTTATTGCTTTCTCTAACTCAGGTCCCAAGTGCTCACCCAGCCTGGAACATGCCAGAAGCTCACAAATTTTCCCTCTCCAAAAGTATGATTATATGACTCTTGTGCATACATTTTGTTTACAATCTTGTAGTTGTATCTCAAACTTGACCTTAACGCATTCTTCTTGTTCTGAGCAGAAGAATTTAACGCCATTCAAGAGGCGTGCAACAACGCTACAACCGATGGAGGAAGGTCACCTATTTTCACCGGTGTAATGGCTCTTGTGATGGGTGTTGTCACAATGATAAGAGTGACTAAAAACGTCCCAAGGAAACTAACAGAGTCAACCTTTTACTCGAGCCCTGTGTACTGCGACGATGAGTCGATGAACAAGAGCTCGATGCAGTCAGAGAAAATGACCGTACCCGCAATCTCAGGAGAAGATTTCATGGCCATCATGAAACGAATGGCTGAGTTAGAACAGAAAGTTACCGTCTTGAGTGCACAACCAACAACTATGCCTCCTGAAAAAGAAGAGATGCTTAACGCTGCGATTAGCCGGTCCAATATATTGGAGCAAGAGCTTGCTGCAACCAAGAAGGTAAATATTATTCTTTCACATTCCTCCATTGTGACACCAAGGCCTTGGTCTAGTGTTTTCCTTTAGATGATTAGATAAATCACTCTGTACCCGAAGGGAATATACTAAAGTTTGTCTCCAGGCACCGAGAAGATTATGGAGCAAAGACCCGAAACTTCTTCCATATTGAAGCTTCTTAAAGTATTTTTCTTTTTGGATGCAGGCTTTGGAGGATTCTCTTGGTCGTCAGGAGGAACTAGTGGCGTACATTG